CATGTTTCTTGTTCCCGTCCTCCCGTCCGCCACTGCGAGCTGCGCAATATACGACAAACGGGGAGAGAAATCTGCGAAGAAAATATGGACTTATAGAGTTTTTTGTGCCATTTGCCTTTTTCAGACTCACAGATCCCTCGGACCATAACAGCCACGCTGCTCCTATACAAGGAACACCTCCGACACTGTGTAAAATCCGGTACCAAAGTGGAGGAAAAATACAGCATTCCCGTACAGAATGTGGTGCAGCAGGATGAACGTATACGTATACTGTAGTGCCCTTAAGGCTCCATGTTAAAAATTCAAACACCGTACTTAGGATAACCGAGAAATGGGTTGACCAATAAAGTACGGTACCGGCCGAACCAACGTACGTACTGTGCTTTATTCAGACAGTGGGCCGGCATTTTTTTCTATTTTTTTTATTTATGGTCGGTCTGGTCGGCCTCATCGGTGGCCAACCGCCGCGGCCGCTGACCTCACACTATGTACGGGCACTATTCGCCCACGCGCGCGGGCCCGCACCTTTCCTTCCCTTCAAACACGTTCGCGAGCCCGCGCGACGTAGCCATTTGCAAGTCAATGCTACTTACAAGGAAGGGGCAAAAAACGAAATGGAACGAACGGTCGGCGCTCGTATGTGTACAGATCAGCCCCCACCCCCTTCTTCTCCCCGTCTCTTTTCAGCGATCAATCATCAAGTGTGGAGCAGGGGTTTTATCGTCCCGCCAGGAGACCATCCCCGCCCCACGGCCACGGTCCAGCGCTCCTGGGGAGAGACCCGAGTGAGTTCACTCACAAGGACCACAGAATGCACCAGAGCAGGAGAGACGGTGGTGGCGGTCAATACTCCTTGCCCAAGGAGAAGGCGTAAGCGGGGGCGGTCAATACTCTGGGCTCCAGGGAGCTGGAAGAGATAGGCGAGGGCGGCTGGGGGTGGAGGGAGAGGCGGGTGGGTCAGGGACGACTCCGACTCGTTCCTCCCCGCGAGATCAATCTGATTGGCTGTTGGGGCGCCAGAGTACTGCAGCCGCTACCCGGGGGGCTGCGGTGACGTCACCGTCGCGGGGAGTGTACGGCGACGCGCGGCGCACGGCACACCCACACCGAGTTGGCCGAGGTTCTGGTCGGCGCGCCGTGAATGGCGGCCCGACACGCCACGGTGTCCCGGGGCCGCCGAAACGAGACCGACACCCTCTGCTCGCGCTGCTCCGAGAGGGAGCTGGGCCACGGAGGACACAGTGCAGGCAAACGGTGAAACAGTTGTATCGGGATAAAGTCCTGGACCGAGGGGTCGGCCGCTCAAATTTTTGGTGCAGCTGGCACACCTGGAATATTTTTGGAATATCTGGAATATTTTAGAAAATTTTCGGAATATTTTTCATTGTGTGAAGTGGTCGACCCCTCGTCCTGGACCTGGGCCCACTCTCCCCCTGGATGAGCGGCCGACGCCGTGTGGGTAGGCAAGCCCGCCCAGCCAGGCTGCGCGCCGGAAAGTCTACTTCACCGAGGCCTCGCTCCTCTTGCACCACCACACTCCCCTCTCGCCACCACCACGCCCACCCCCAGCTTCTTCTCAGCCGCACACGGCTGACGCAATCCAACCCGACCCCCGCACGATCCCCTGCGAAACGACCGCGGGCGGCATCGCAAACGCACTTTCCAGGGAGGATGTGCGCAACGGGGTGGGCG